GAAACTCTTTAGAAATCTTTTTGATGTAAATGTTATTATCTGTTAATTACTTATTCGTTATTTGTTGTTGTAATCACGTTAATCACGGATTGTTAAAAAATTATATTATAAAACGCAATTATTTTTGCAATGAAAATGATTTTTATTCGCACTTGCTATTTTTTTATTTATTATTCAAATAAAAATTTGCCTAATTGTGTTGTACGTGTTGAAAATAAAGCGTTACGTGTAGGTATCAAATTTTTTAAATTCATTTTTCAGATTTTCAGATTTGCGTGGGTGGAATCTTGAATACTAAAGGGAAAAAGAGAGCAAATTGCTGTGGCAATTTCGAGAGTCACGCGATCGATCTTGGTGTCACGCTTGGTGTTCCACTGGGATTTAGAACTACATGTAAACGGCGCGACTTTTCTCTTGGGCTTATCTTCTATTTCTACATATTGATTTTGACTGACAAAAAAGTCTGCAAGAAAGAAGTCTGAGAGTCTCACGCGATCAAACGAGTTGGCGTATCTAACGCGCAACTTGCATCTTTGTTAAACTTACCGAACCGTATAAATAATTGTTAATCACTTTTACCTCCTGATACCAATTATCATTATTATCGCTAAATAATCTTATCCTAATCTCTAAATATTTTTAATAAATTTAGGTTATTTTAATCGTTTGAATTTCATTTAATAATAAAACAGATCAATAAAACAGAATTTAACCAAAATTAAGATATATATCTGTGTATCGTATACGTTTCATTGTCGGATTCACTTGACGATCTTAATGGACACAGTCGCATCGAGATTTTCCAGCTGCGCGCATTCGGCTTCCAGCGGTGAAGTTAACTCGCCGACATTGTCGGAGAAAACGACAGCGTGCAAATGACAGCGTGGAAAAACGGGGTGAGAAAAGGATGTCGAGATCGAGATCGATGCGAGATCCACGTTCAACGACGACACAGCCGCGATATATTCGCGGAGAAATCTCTTTATTTCCGCGGCGGTCACAATGAACACCGTTACGCGCGAACGCAAAACCATATTCGTATAACGGTAAGGCCGGAGAAAAGGGAGAAAGACGGAATTACCGCGAGGTATCCGTTTCGTTCGTTATCGGTAGCCAAGTAGGAAACGGGATCGTCGTTGGATTTACTTGGGCGTGAACGGATCCGATCGGAATCGATTCGCGACGCGTGTATGACCGCGGTGTCGTCGACGTTTTTCGTCGTCAACGCGACAGAGTGCACAGCACCTCGCGAAACACGCATCGATATCTCCAGCGCCGATGACAGAGTATCGTTTCGGCGGTCGTTTCCCGTATAATTGCATCCTTCCGATAATACGCGTTTAACCATCATAGGAGTGTAATCGCCCATAAAAATCTTACAGAAATATTATCATCTCTCTATAATTAAATTTTAATTTTATGTTGACTGGAAATGCGTAATGAAATAAAAAATTTATGGATATAATACAGATAATGTGCAGAAATATGATGCAGAGTTGAGTGCACTCGAAGAAGTTTTTTTTTATGTATATCCTTTGGAAGAAGAAATCTTGGTCTTTTATTAGGCTACTTGGAGAGCCTAACGACAATTCCCCGACGTTGATCCCTCGTTGACTCGATCGCATTCGTGTGCAATGCAGCGGGGCTATATATCTCGAGATTATCTTAGAATCTCAGTTTCGAGGTCGAAAAATCTGGCGAGATTCCCAAAGCAGCAGCCCGTATCGATGCCCGACGGCGTGCGATACAACCATGGGTACGGAGAGATACTCGCTGCGGATAAGGGGTTCTTCCACGGAAGACCGCTCGATTTTATGGAACCTGTTCCCACCGCGCGTATACGTACGTGCGCGTCCCTTCGCGCGACGAGTTTACTTACTTGTGAGCACGTACTTGGTGCGTTTCACGCTTCTACGGAGCCTGCTCGTAAATTAGCGCCAGCGCGGCTGGCCGCCCGTTCGACCGAGACATCCGAAAATCCGTCGGGCGTCTCAATTAGAGATACCCGCGCGCGATCAGATCCGCTCGGAGAAAAACGGAGAATTTCATTTCAGTATACGTCTAAGGTATACATCTCCAGAAAGATCATCGAGTAATAAAATTCCGTCAAGATGTTGATTCAAGTTTCAGATTTTCAGAATAAATACGGAGATGGATCATTATCTCTCTGTGATGTGTGACATAAACTAAATTAACACGATTAATATAATATTAGTTGTCAAATATATTTGTTTAAATTTTAAAATTAAAGATTTAAAGAAAAATAAAAGTGAGCGACCGGAAATCATAGGTTGAGGAAAAATAGGTTTGCGAGAAGCGACGAAACTTTCGAGTAACGAGAGCTGCTGCGCGAAGCCTCGTGTCGGATACGAGAAAAAGGGGGCGAAAGAGAGGTTAGCAGCCCCCTTTCGCTTCGCTTCGTTCTCTCTTTCTCGGACAGGGGTGAGTGACTCACGTTCCGTCGGCCTCGACGCCGTTCGTCGGGACGCAAACGTCTACCCTCCAAATATTGATTCGCTCGCCCGAGGAACGCACGCGTCGCAACGCGTGTCGTATCGGGGGAGGCTTTCTCCCCGACGCTTTCGTACAGACTCTTCGTTTTAGGTCTTCCCCGAGTCGAATTTCCCTCGAGACATAACGCCGTCTCTTCTCGGGATAAGATCTCGTAAAGTCGTTTTGAGGATTTTTTCTTTTTTAAATATAAAGGGAGATTTTGTTCGGAAGAATGAGAGAAGAAATGAAGCAAAAGTCGATCGTTTTAAATACAATGTTAAACATAAGATTTAAAATAAATTTACATCGTACTTTCTTCAAATTCCTTCTATCTTAATTAGTGATAAATTTAATAAGATTACATTTTTTTATAGACCTTGTTAGAATAAATATATATACTAATAAAATAATCTTTTAAGTATATAATATTTTCTTATTCTTTTTAATTACATTTTTATGACTTAATTTTTAATTATTGTATATAAAAATTATGTCATAGCTTATTGATAGAGAATAATAATATAAAGTATATGTCTATATAAAGTCATTAAACTAAAATTGTTAAAATAATAAAACCAACAGTAGCTTTTCTTTCTCTTTGCCACTTTCCCTCTCAAGAGAATGTTCAAGGAAACATTTACTTTAGATTTTCCAAATCATGAGATCATTTAAAAATCTCCAATTTTTTAGTAAATAAAATTTTCATATTTTACAAATAACGATTAAGCGCTTGACACTTTTTATCGCTGTTATTGTTAGACATTGTAATATTCTTCTATAGCTTGATTCAATTTCGATTCAATTCCAACAAATACACCGCGACATGTCATCGATTGACAGCGTGCGCGTTTTTCCCGTCGATGGAAAAATTACGCGGGAAAGAGAACCTCCGATGTTAACGAGTTGCGGTTCGTTAACCAGCGTGGCAATTAAAAAGGTCACTTTTCCCGTGGGAAAGACGTCTATACAACAACGTATATCCGAGGAGAAAGGAAGTGGCAATAGCAGCAACAGAAAAAGAAGTAGAAGCTTTTACACACACGCGTGGCAACGTAAAAGAGAAGGAAGAACAACGGCGTCGCAGAGGTCACTCACCGTCCCGCCAAGGTCGCCGCCGTCGGATGATCGGTGTGTCACATTTCCGTGGAAAATGTATATCACAATTCGGGCCTCGATATCACCGTGGGCAACACGAACGAAACGCGACCTACCGCCTTCGTCCGCGTGTGCGAGACGAAAACCGACGGAAAGTCTCGTGCTCCACGAGATGCGCGCGATACACCGCCTCACGTCAGCGTCGCGACTGCCGCCGCCGCCGCCGCCGCCGCCGCCGCCGCTCGCGCACTCTGGCTCCACACGCGCACGCGAGTGTCCCGCGACGCGCGCGTGCGCGCGCTCACACCTGTGCGAGGACGGTGATGTAGACGAGGATTTCGAGACCCTCGTCGAGAGACCTAGGGAATAACCTAAATTCATTTTTATCTCCGATTTTTCAAACAATGAATACTTGAATAATGCAATTTCCGTACAATTTTGTATAAATTAAATATGCACAATAAAAAATGTTTATAACAATCCAATCTTATATTTAAAAATGTATATTAAGTTTGCTCTTTGGATTCCACATAATTTTCAAGTGTAATAAATGTATAGAAATTTAAGATGTCCCTGAATATGTAAAATTATTCAACTATTGTTCTATATAATAACATAATTATTCCTGTAGGTTAAAGCCAGTTAGCAGATCTGCTGAATAATTACAAAATTACATGCATTAATTGCGGTCTTTCACTTAAATCAGTTTTTAACTCTAACAAGTTGACTCGTTGATTTTTTGATATCTATTAGTTAGAATATACATTTATATCATACGCAAGTTTTGTAGTCATTTATATTTATATTCCGCTTAGTACCGGCCCTGCGCGCATGTTCGCTTATACTTGCACGCGTGTGTGCGTGCGTGCGTGCGTATGTATACGATTGCGATTGTAACCGTCGTGGAACCAACTGCTTACTCGACGCATCTGGCCAAGTCTCGATCAGTGACATGCCGCGACGCGAAATGAAGCAATTCAAGTCGAGAGAGCGAAGTAGAATTTTCCTATTTAGTGATTTAAATTTTTCTATTTTTCGTGATGATCGCGCGGAAAAACGCGAGTGCAGAAAAATTAGACAAACATGCATACATTATTTCGGGGTTAACATGAAATTCTCTCTTTCTCTCTTCGGAATCTTACAAATATACAGGGTGTCACAAAATTCCAAATATAAATTGTGAATTCTTAAAAGAATTTGGAGAAATGTCATCTTTTAATTATAAGTGATAAAAATAATGATTGATTTCTCATGAATTTTTGTGAATGTACAAGTAATAAATCTTTAATTTTGACAAAAAACAGATTTCACTCAAATAAGATTTTTAGACAATATATCATCAAATCAGTATCGTCAAATCAGTATTCGCAAAATATTTAAGTGAAAAAGTATTATCAATTAAAGAGGTATAATAAAATATAAACTTTAATGAAATTATTTCTATTTAATAAAAAGTCCATTTGATAAAATATGTATCTGAATTCTTTTAACATCCTATATAAGTGGATCTTTACTTATGTGCGTGTGTATATCTAAAAACACCTGCCGATTTCAGTTGAGTTTTTAAAGTACACGTCTAATTTTCTCGTGAGATACCGCATAACTTTGTGATTTAATTTCTAGAGATATTGATTAGAAAAAAGTGTAAATTTGTAATAATATATTTCATATTAAAATTTAGGCAATATTGGATCCCGTAATTTTAAGAGGATTTGTTCGAATTGCATAATTCGAAAGAGAAAGGAAAAGTCTATATTATCCGCTCGTCAGTTGGCACGTCAGTACCCAGGGAGCGCCAGTTCATGGATCAACAATCGACTATTATCTTTACCTACACCGCTTTGTACAAACAATATTTACATAACATATACATATACATATACATGTGATTTTATGTACAGTCGAGTTTTCATTATTTTTAAAAGCATTATAAACCATTGTCTTAAAATTAAAACAGTTTGTAATTCGTAGCAATTAATAGCTTACACGATGAAAAAATACTTTAAATAAAATAATAATGGGATACGGAGAATTCTTATTATTGTCTTAATTTAACTATGAAAATTAAAATATGCTCTTACACTCTAATAAGTCCGATTGATATAATTAAAATTCTATGACTGTAGTCTTAATGCACACATCGGCTCTCATTAATCGCCAAACACGTGTTACCGGTTCGGAATCTTCTTTTTTGAAATATTTCTCATTTCATCGAGACTCGAGCCTCCTCTTAATTTATCGATAACGCATCACGTTGAAAAACCGGAATTGACGTTGTTCACGAAATATATTGCGAGCGGAACAAGATACAGTCGATTCGCAACGCGAAGTTAATTTGTTATCGATTATCGAGGATTAATGTTCGAGCAAGATTCATGATTACGATGTAATTTGTATAACCGTTTTTCGTGAATAATTTAGCGTGGAATGGAGCAAAAACGGCAGAACTGTTCTACCATTGAGAAATCCGTCTGTCCGAAATATATAATTTGCGATTGTCCCCAATTACATTTGAACGAATACCGCCGAACAGATGTGGGTTACACTATAGAAAAACTACGAGAACTCGTATCGGATCCTGTCACTAGCGATCAAACTCCACGAATATTGAGACTTTTGTGTGATTATCTGCATAGGATCGGTGACGAGGGTTACGTATCCTTTAATCTGCTCATACCAAAAATAATACCAGAAATATTTTGATTGAGAATTATCCGAGCTTGCAAATTTTATAAAAAAAATAAAAAGCACGTTGACGTTATGTTTATTTTTAAAATATTGATTAGAATGTGAGATTTGTATGTACTTTAAATTATAGATAATAAAAATATATTTTGATATATAAATAATTAATGGAAACATCTTCAAATTAAATAATATCTTTTTGATAAAATTTTTAATAAAAGCATCATTTAAAAATTGTTGAAAAGTTCTCGTTTAATATTAATTTCTTATATTTTATTGCAGTAAGATCCATTTTGCTTTCACTTGTACTAAATACTCTAACTTGTTCAATGTTTCTTAAATGTTTTTAAGTATATTTCCTTAAAGACGTTTTCAGCCAGTCAAACATCTGCCGGCCATAATAAAGGTGCTAGAATTTCTAGCGTGGAACAGTAGAGAAATTGATGATTACCGAGTGCATTTGAACCAGATGTTACAGTTATGCAATCGACCGCCTTTGCTGAAACACACTTCCGAGAGTCTCGTCATTTCTCTCGTAATGGAACATTATTTCACATGTCTTGGTTATCTTCTGACAATTTTGCCTTTTGAGGAAGATGTCCAACGAATTTATAACATTCTTGATTGTTTATTAATTGGACGGACAAAATCAACGAACGTCGCGGCAGTGAAGTTGGATTTTCGTCGCCGAGCTATGGAGAATTCCAAATTACCGATTATTATTGTCGAATTGTTGAACGCTGCTATGTCAAAGATGTACCCGAAAATGTTGGAACTGGCCTATATACTTGTTTCGGTCTCAAATCAGTGTTGTAAGTGTAATAATTGAACATATTGTTATATCTTATAAATTAAATTGTTCATATTATTATAAAATATTACTCTCTTTCTTCAAGTCGTTTTAAATCGTTTTTTTTTCCCAAATATTTCGAACGAGAAGAATATTTTCCAAATTTTTTTCAAGCACATATGATTTGGGCCTCTTAAGAGTGAAAAAATTTTTTTTAATACAACCAATGGTAGATTATCATACTAAACGTTCGCATATCAAGCGTATAATTTATTCAAATATTATTCCAACGGATAATATGCATGTGGATGCCGGAACGTTGAAGTAAAGGTGATTTAGTCGCGGGAAGAACGCTTCTGGCATCTCTTGATGTACGTGTACAGACTACAGCCTTTATATATCCCCAAATAAAGGTTACAGAATGCTGGAGGCCGGCATATTGAACACGCTGCTCACCAGAATGGATCTTCCTTACGCAACGCAACCATGCTGCAGACCGCCGGACATACCTCTTGAGGGAGAGGAATATCCGAGAGACACCATGCTCTTGATAATAAAACTCTTATGGAGTCTCATGAGATCGGCATTACCTCCAAAAACGTTACCGGAACACCTGAAGGATATTCCTTCACCCAAGCAATGCGCCATGTGGTATTCTTTATCGATAACAATTATTGATAATGTCCTAATTTTTTAACAATTAAAAATTTAAGTATAAAGTGACAGAAAAGTAACCATAAATAAATTTTACTTAATTTTGTTATATAATCGCACACACATTGTCTTTTTAAAGTTTAAATATTACTTATTTATTCAGATGTTATTTATATATTTATTATATGATTTTTCCTTGATGAGCATAAAATGTACGATTTCTGACGCAGTACAGGGGCTTAAGGTATTCTTTCAAGCGGCAGATACTTTACGGTCAATACTGTGCCACCAATTTAAGAATCAGAAATGATATTGCCGCGCTGATTCTCGCTGGAATCGTGGTTATGCCTTCGTGGAATCTTGCCAGTAGCGGTATTGCTGAAGATATCGTCAAACTTTTATCCGCAATTGAATCAGGCATTACTAAAATATGGACAAAAAACATAAAATTCTCAGATAGCACTGAAGATCTCTTCTTTAAAAAGACCCTGCTGATGATCATCGCACATCTTGCCGACATCGATATCTACGTTTTTGTAAATTGCTTTCATCAATTTTATTTTATAAATATTAGATTAAAAATACAAAAAGAAAAAATAGGAAAAATTTATTTTTAATATTTTTTTTTAGAAATTGAAATTTAGTTTAAGCTTTTAATAAATGTGTAAATTATTTTTAAATTTTATGGAACATGTTAACAAAAAAACTTTTTAATTTTTTTAGATAATGAAAAAAGCCACGATTATGCCGATTATCCTTCGGATCATTAAATTCTGCCTGAGCAATAAAAAGGATAAAGGATCGCTGATCCTGTTGGAGTACGCGATGCATATTTTATCGCTGTTAGCGCCACGAATAGAGACAGAATTTATAAAGAATAAAGGCACTTTCATGTAAAAAAACAAAGAAAAGTTAATCAAATTTTAGGATAAAATGGAGTAAAATAAATTTCAATGTTCATAGATTATTGGCAATGCTCGAGCAAATTTTAAATATGGAATTCGATGAACATCTTGCGATGATTTTTATGAGAACCATCTGCTCGATAATTCTACAGGACAATGTTCTTTTGTTGGAAAACTTTCAGAAATATGGAATGATATCATTATTAATTAGTAAGAGATATGATAAAATGTATCTGCTAAAGATATAGATATGTTAGAAATTACAAAAATGGTTTCAATTTTTTTACACAATATTTTTTACATTTTTAATAAAATAAATTTTTTATTACATTTTAGAATTAATCAATAATATAGTGAGTTTAAATAAGCTCACGATAAGAAGGCAACGAATTTTAACGTTGCTGTTGATTGCCTTAGAAGGTCTTGTGAGAAAACCAACGTCTGTTCAACACATGTGTGAACAACAAAGTGTTGATCTCGTTATAGAGATCTTCACAAAGTGTTTGTATCCAAAAAACGAAGACTTCCAAGTGGATGAACGGTAACGATCTCTATGTGGCGCAAATATTTACATAAATAATTCTGTTATTTCTACATTATTATAATTTTCAACTACATTAATAATTAATTGACAAATTATATCAAATGTTTGTCAATCAATTAATATATATAAATGTTTGAATTAAAATTATATATTAAAATAAAAAATGGAAACTAATATTTTATACATTTTTTATTATTATTTTAGACTCTTGCTGGCAATAGGCTCATACATTTGGAAATGCGTGGCACAATGTCCTGCGAATCTTCAAATTTTCCTGAAAAACGGCGGATTATATTCCATGTTGGACATCATTGAGATCGCGAGCTATCCCGTAAAATGTTTGTATCTCGGTGCGCTAACCGATATATGCGATAATACCTTTTGTGGACCATATCTCTGTACCTGGAGAGGTACTGATAAAAAGATAGGATTAATGTCCTTACTTGCGACTATTTGGCGGGAAGAAGAAGATAAAATCGGTATCAAAAGGCACATTGACGGTTCTATAGCAGGTGCAACCTTATAAATTGAAATATCAAACTTTATATAAAGAATCTTATAAAAATTTTCTTTTCACAAAAAAATCTGTTTTAACATTTTTTTTATTCTTTAAACCTTTTAAAATTAAAATTCTAACTGCCAAATTACGAAATACTTTTAATGGTTAAGGAAGAAAAAAGTTCATTCAAAAATATCTCAAATTTTCCTATTTGTGTAAATTAAAAAATAAATTTAAACAAAAATGTTAAGCAAAGTTTATTTATTATTTAATAATTACGATTAAGCTTAATAGTTTATAATTTAATAGTTTATAATTTATAATTTCAGATCCTGAATTGCCTCAGATGGGCACTAAACAATGGATAGACACCTATCATACACAGCTTTCGACAGATGTCAGTCCTACGATAATCGACATGTTTGGTTCGGTGCGATCAAGGATCTTTAGCATTTTAAAAATCATCGAGAGAAATGACGATAGATATGAAATGGCTAAGAAGCATTATAAAATTCTGCTCGACGAATTATCGACAAAAGATCGCGTAAATAAGCTTTACCTTCATCAAGCTGATATAATAATACTAATTAAACCAATAAAGATACAAAATACCAAGTAAATTTTCTAATCAATCAAATATCAAGTAAATTTCTAATATCAAATATGTTCAGAAATTGAGAAAATTTGTTTCATTTAGATAAAGATTGGTAAAAGATTAGCACTCTTTTTCTCAGATAACGCTATGCTGCGTCGACATGTACCTACGACTTAAGCTCGGCCAGATGTGGACGGAACTCAGCAGATATTTGGAACAAGCTGATGTTATTCCGTTGAACGTGGACGCCAATCTGATCGCCCATATGGTGCAATGGCACCATTCATGGGGTATCTTAATCCAGGACCGGCAAAGGAAGCTAATCGCGGCAACTAAACGAGCGGACGAGATTTTCGAAAAAGACGAATTCGCGAAGATACGTGACTCTAAGCTCGCACCAGCTCTGGAAGCGTTGAGCGAGGTGGATCTTATTCGTCGGACGACCGATAGATCATACAGGTTACGGAAGAAAAATCGGCAGAGACGACAAGTGCACGCAGCCCTGTCATTCCCACGTGAGGCTGACGCCGAGCAATGCCATCGAACGTTTTCGGATAAGACAAATGTCACGGTAAAAATAGAAAATTTAAGAAGCTAATTTTAGCAATTTTATTTACTTACTTGTACTGTCGCATAGTATTTTTTTATAAGATTAAATAAAATAATTACTTTTTCAGGTTATTCTCGGGCAACATCAATCGATCGACACTTGGCATTTAGAGGATGCTCAGAAAGATTGCACAGAGATATCTCCAGTGTCACTCCTCGATTCACCCCACGAAGAAATCTTTTCTTCACTCGAAGCTACTTCCTCGAAGCTACTTTCCGGTGATTCCTGTTTTACGCTTGGTTTGTGAGCGAGTATGTTATCGAGAATCTCAATCGATAATCTACGCATCACAATTTATATCATAAAATATTTAATGAAATGTATAAAGTTACAAAATTAATTGCAATAAAATTGTATCTCTCGAGACATATCCTCTTATGCCTCGAACAAAAAGGAATTATCTTACTTTGATACAATAGTTGTCTTCCTTGTCAACAAGAAAATGTAAAGCCAAGCTATCACTTTTTATTCGTTAGTAGTGGTTTATTTAGTTAACCTAGGTAACGTTTATACACGTTTAAAAATAAATATCGAGTTGAAAAGAGAAATGAGAAAATTATCTTGTCTCGTCAATATTTGACTCACTAATGTGAGTTTCTCTTCTTTCCGCATAGCATATTTGTTGTTTTAATTGTTTTGAATTATTTTGAATTTCTTCATTTTTTTCTATGTGGACATTGATCTCGCGTACCAGTGTCGTCGCCAGCGTGTAACGTAAATCGAGACGTCGTGCGGGTTTCGCACGACCGATCTGGCGCGTGAGTGTATTCATCTAGATGATTATCTAGATAGTCTCGAGGCCGCTCCGGAGTGGGCGAGAGAGACTGGCGAGCGCAGCGAGCGACTAGTGAGAGCGAGCATGCCGTTCGCGTCGCAAGCGAGTGCTGTCGCTGCCGCCGCCGTCGCCGCCGCCGCCGCCGCCGCTGCCGCCGCCGTCGCCGCCGTCGTCGTCGTGGTTCGCCGTCCGATGGTACCGGTTTGAAGAGCGAACCGCGCTTCAGGTTCAACTACTCACGAGCCAATAGTTTCACTCGCGTCAGTGTGCCGTGCGACCCGTAGGAAATCGCTACGTGTTTCCGCATCGTTTCCGCTTTCATCTGATTTTCCTAACGACGCACGTTCCCGTGCGAGCGAAAGCTACGCGGCGGAATAGGTCGAAGGAGAAGACGCGCTTTTTCCGAGGCATCTTCCTCCTCCTCTTACGAAAACCGCTTACTCGTACGTGCGACGGCGCACTTGCCTTCCCTCCGTCTCTCCCCTCGCTTTCCACTTTTTTTTTTCCTATCCCTCTTTCTCCCTCGCATTTCAAATCGCTCCATTTCGATCACTCCCTATCCTTCCTTTTCCCTCCTGCTCTCCCTTCGCCACCCGCACCTTTGTGTATCTTCGTTCCTCGTTTAGTCTTTCCACTTTCTTCCGCCGCCGCCGCCGCCGCCGCCGCCGCCGCCGCCGCCTTCGCCGCCACCCCGCCGTCGCTGCAACAAGCGCGCGCGCGCGCGCGCTCGCGCGCGCTCACCGCTTTTCCGTCGCGCTCCGCTTCGTACCCGCTTTGTCGGCGAGCGTGCTATCGACAAGATTTAGAACTCTCCCACGTAGATAACTTTCGCGCGAAGCCTTCCACGAAGCGGAAAGACGAGACGAAGTAGAGATCCTCGTCTTGTCAACATTGACGCAGTTATGGCGCGTGAGAAGAAACAGTGGTGCTACTTTGATGGCTCGAACGGACGTCGAAGGCCGATGCGAATCCCGCTGCTATTTCTCGTCGTCCTGTGCACACTCTTGGATGAATCCTTGGCGGTCGCCGAACATGGTGAGTGTGTTGTATGCGTATATGTGAATCTATGTGCGCGCGAATGAATATGTGTGTGTGTGTGTGTGTGTGCGCGCGCGCGCGCGCGCGCGCACACGGGCGTATGTATGTACAAATGTCATTTACATATTTGCATAGGTATGCGCGCCGCGGCAACGCGCGCACGGGCGCCTTTCGATAACCTGTTGCGTATCACGGAGGATTCTTTTCGGAGCGTGCGGGGAAGGCGCGAATAAGACGGCGCGAGCGGCAGTCGAGTTTGTAGAAGGAAGAGAAGTGATGACGGCGCGAGATCGAAGCGTATGAAAAAGAGAGAATAGTATTTAAATGTTTCTTTTTTTTTATTATTTGAAATGACTTATGTCAGTGTCTAAATCATCGACCACCAAAGGGACCCTCTCATTTACCCTCACAAAAGGGAGACGAAAGGGAAGATCGGGTCATAAAGAATCACTGCAGATGTTAGGGACGGGCAGGGAGAGAAGAGAGAAAAGAGAGAAAGATAGAGAGGAACAATGAGAGAAAGGAGGAGAAAAAAATCCGGTTGAAATCCGGTCAAATCGAGAAAACCTCAAGTCTAGACCTTTTTCGCAGCTCCCTACCTTCCTACCTATTCCTTCGAGGTCGTCCTCGCGTTGCATCCAACGCTTGCATGCAACGGGATCGGGAACGCGCGCGCTTGTCGGAATAAGGCCGCTCTCGCTCGCTCGCTCGCTCACTCGCACTCACGGCCGCAGACGCCGAGCTATCGTACGTTACATTGCGAATACTTACGGAACGATAGGAAAAATTCGATTTACATAATGCGAAATAAATGAGGGAAGAAAGACGAGAGCCTCGAGTCTTAAGATTAAAAGAGATAGTTGTGTCTCTCAACTGAAAAGGAGTTATACACGTAATAGGGAATGTTAGTTTACTGAGAAATGACTTCGACTACCGACTACTTAAATTTGAAATAACAAGTAAATAAATTTGCGAAGAAGATAAATTACACATTTTATGAAGATTTGTTAAGTATTATTAAATCTTCAAAAATCAATTAGAAGCAATGATTTATAGTAGATATTGTCTTTCTAAATTCTCTTAATTTTTTTGCATTACTGCTGCTTCAACGAAGATTTCATTACCGAGTTTATCTTCTTCATAAACTCTATCGTCATAAACTGCATACAAAAAATTCTCTTTCTCGATTGTACATAATATTCTATCGTGTCGTTTAATACGCCGTTGTCCCGAACCTTCGATTTAATAAGCTGTTTTTCCATTGAAATTACGAGCATCACGCGATACCGTAATTACTTTACCGCTGAAACACATTGCTCTGTTCGCTTATCAAAAAAAAAAAAAAAAAAAGGTACTTTACGAGTGACATATATTTTCCCGATATATATATTTTACGAGTGATTTATCGTTTCCTCTCTTGATAAAGCATTATCCGCTGTTGTTTTTCCAATATTCCAAAGAGGGTGAAAAGGAAAGAAAATCTCTCGATGTTTTTTGTGACGATCTTTATCGCTTTATCGCTTTCGTCGCTAGGGATAACGGTACGACGAATTGGTGAGTGACAGCTAGAAGGTTATCTCAGGTCACCCTCCACATACCGTAGATTTACCGACCTTACCGCCTTGATTTCGCGATTGCAAAATCGCCTGCCACTTGCTCGGAGCGGGCCATCGCTCGGTGCGCGCTCCTTTATTAGCCGCGTGTGCCTGCGACGGCGGGAATCGCGGGAATTGCAACGTCGGCATCGCCGGACTCGCGAAGGAACCCCGGCTATTATCGGCATCGCCGGAATCGTTGATGTCGCCATTGACGTCGCGAAATGTCAAACTGTATCGTTGATAGACGACACCGCATATTACAGACCTAGAATTCCCACGTTACGATCTTGCAAATCAGTGATCTTGTTTGCGAATGATTAAAATTATATCGTCCGCAGCAAAACTGTGCGTTTATTAATTATCAATCGCAATATATAGTATTCGCTGCTCAAGTTTGCGTGACGAATATTACAGAATTATCGTTCCTTTTTTTAGATAAGAAATTCCTTTAATTAAATCGCAAAAACTGATTAGAAACAAGTTTATATAATTTTCAGTGAAATATTAATTTGTTTCAATTTGGTTAAAATTTTCTGTCGGGCCCTTGAGTTTGGTAGCGCAGAATATTCCAATATCCCAAGACAGATTTGCCACTTCATTTTTACATTGCTAACACATTTCATTCTTATCGAATGTTATTTAACACCAGGATGTCAAGTGTAAAGTGTAATTTCCATAAATTTCTGTCTTTTTTTTTTTCATCTATAATCATGTTGTTTCGCGTATGCACGTTATTCTTTCTTTTGGAGATGGCAGCTGATATTTAGACACAAAGGCAATTTGTCACGAACGAGTAGTTGCTTTATAAATATGAAGACGGAAAGGCAGAAAAATATGTTTCATGAATACAGCTGAAAAAAATGTGTGTGTTAATCGTGCATGTTGAAAGCCGTACATATATCTATTATTACACCATTACGTTGCTTATTTATTACAGCAATTCTTTATCGATCGATTACTTTATAATTGATAATTAATTTTTAATGCGCTTGGCATGTATTATTAATAATAATACAACGGCAATCTATTATTAAATCTATTATTAGAATGTTCCGTAATTTTTTCGATAAACTCTTTTCTTTATCAGAGTTGCCTATAAAAAATTCACAATGGCAACTTTATTCAATTATGCGATATTACCGTTGCTGCTTTTAAAACGTAAAACATATCTTGCCTTATATAGCTAGAGAATCAATAACAGGAAAATATTTTATAATGCGTGAATGGTGGCAAACTTCATTTCGCAAATATCGTTGCGCGATGCAACAAGCTGTTCAGCATTCATAATGCATACGCAAGGAGAGTATTTTGCGGAAATCGATGGATTAGCTCGTAACACAACATGACACTCCCAGTACGTGTCATACCGACTGGTACTACATTGAGAAAAGTTACACCGCGAATATCAAAGTTATAATCAACTCCAATTTCTGAATTTATGATTCACGCGTTCCGCGATATAATTTTTTTATACTCACAAATACATTACCTTACAAAAAAAAAATCTGTCTCAAATATGTGCGATTTAATTTATGTACCGATATCGCAAACTGCGCGACGCGATCGATATAATAAAGATAATTTGATGTTTCACAGGATATATAGACACAAATAAAAATAAATGGAAATGAAATTTCTTCTTGTTCGACATTTCATAATGCAGAAAAATTTATATAAAAATTTATATGTGTACCGCTCAACCGTCAGTTTTATCTTTATACCTATTTTTGTACTACGTTCATATCACATCTAATGATCATTGATCGTGATCGAATATGCATTTTCTGAGAAGAAAATAAGTACATAACCGGAATAAATTAGATGAAAATATGATTCCCCGTGATTTTCGAATTTACACAGTCCGATGCGATATATATATATATATATATATATATATATATATACACACACACACATGTGGATTTCTTAAATAAAACAATGAACACAATATTGTTAATTTGATGCTAACTCGTTTACTTTAAAAGACGTTATCTACGTATTGGAAGTTTAGTAAAGGATCTCTTTGGCTATTTGTTTCTCCAATATCCTGCGGAGGAGTGTTTCAAAACGCTGCTTCAGTTTTGACTCACAAAGCCATTTAATTCGCAAGATTTATCTCGATTGGCGCGCATCTCGACGTTTACGAGGCTGTCGAACATAAAGCGAATCGGCGGATTTGCGAGTATGAGTTTAACTCCGGAACGGAGCGGTAAACGACGGGCAGATGCGATACGCGAGGGAAGCTTTAATTTAACGTGTGTGAAAAGTAATCGCGCGTATCGCGACGAATCGCGCCGTGATACCATTCGTGACGTCTGCCTCGATAACATTTAACTCGCTCTACGAGCGCGAAACGCCTCGTCCAGCTGAGCGCGTAATTAGATCTCGCGTAATTCCATGGCGGCGAGCGCAATTTTAAAGTGCACCATGGCACTTTAATCCCGCCGATGAAAACACTTGCTCATAAAAGATGTGCGCTTATCTGTACCGAGGAATTATGTGAAAAAACGAGTTAATCACAAGTAGCAGTCTTTTTTAATAGATTGAATTTAAAATGTGAAATTATCTTTTTAAATTTTACGAATGTAAAATGTAATGTATTTTCCCGTCCAATTAAAACATTGTTGCATATTCATAATTCATTATTTAAGACGTTTCTACGAAGGAGCGAGGAACTTGAAAATGAATTCACGAAGAGACTGCATTTTGCATTCTCAAAAGTAGAGTTATTTAGTTTTTAAGTAAAAGATACATTTCCAGACACATTTCCATTATCGGTTTATAGACTTCTTAATTCCATCTTGTAATTCCACGAACGATTTCTTTGAAAGAAGATCAGCGATTAGTCAAGAATAAAATTGTTCTTCCCTCGGAAAAGGAACTTCCGAGCTGAAGCAGCAACCGATCTTCGCACAAAGACAAGGAGTACGTTCGCCGGTTGTGCAGGAATGTGAAATTCTGCGGAATGGATTTTCGCGTCACCCGATATTCTCGTGGAGCAAGCGCGGAAACGCTCTCCGTAGAAATTTGTCCTCGTAACACTTGGCTCTCGTTGGCATGTATAATCTCGCTTTTTTCCAGTGTAACGCGTCCACAGGATTAAATAATGTGACGTAAATGACACGTTTGCGATATCGAGATTTCAATTCTCGGCAAGGAGGAGGAGAAATTGATAAACGCATTTACGAAAGAATGAGCGACTAATAATTTCAGTTTTTAGAAACACTTCTGGCATTTCTACTTCCTGTTTACATTACGTATATGATGCAATTAGAGATATCTTAATAAATTATCTTAAATTTCTCTTAATCTTAATGGGCTGACAATCACGATTCCGTTTTGTAACTTGTTAATAAATTATGAAATTATTATCGGCGTATATTATGATAAAAGCGTATT